GACCAAACAGCTATGGCTGATCCTCAGCCCTGCCCTAAACAGCCCCTCAGGTCTCAGTGTCCCATGGTAATCGCTGCAAGCACCTCTGGAGAGAAAGCTGCCACCGAGTTCTGCCTGCTGTCAGTCCAGTTTCTCCCCGTATGAGCTTGGTCCCCAGAGACTTCCCTGGAGAGTTCAGAGCAGTTGGGAGCTTGTGACTCCCTCCCAATTTAAAAAGACAAACGCTTCCTCAGTTGCCAGCCCTTTCCATGTGTGCCTCCATACCTCTGCACTTTTCTTCCGTATCTCCTCTGAGTTTCAGTGTGCTTTTCTCTTTCCACCTTGTGTGCTTAGCTGAAATTCCTGGAGAGTTATTCAAGAATGCCGCCATGCTGGCCCAGGCTGGCTGCCACTGACAGAAACCTTAGCCATAGAAGAATGATTTTCTAAAGAGAAAATGGAAAGGTTATTGGGTGTTCTTATATCCAGTTTTTCCTTAGTTTTACCTAAGCCAGATAGATGAAAGTAGATACTTCTTGCTACATTATACTTTATTTGTACACATCTAATATATTCTGAGCCCACAATGGCCCCACTGAAGGGAGCCGGTTTGTGGGAGGTAGACAAGGAGCCAAATCTGGGTCTCCTGTAGCCAGAGCTAGTATTCCATGTTTAGGATACTCAAAGATGGTAAAGCTTAACACTGGCATTACTGTGCTGTCATGGAGAGCATTAGTCATCTGCTTTTTTTAGGTGGATGCTCACACCAACTTAATATTGCCCACAAACCTAACAAGTGTGTATTAGAATGTTTGGGTATATTTTCAAAAAAGGTGTTTCATGATTATTGTATTAAGATCATTCCACCTTACCCCAGTTTTAGGATGCACTTATACATTTGCAATTATTCTTTTTTTAGAAAACATATTTTTATTTAAGAGAAGAAGGGAGAGGGAGGAAGAGATAGAAACATCAATAATGAGAATCATTGATCTGCTGCCTCCTGCACGCCCCATACTGGGGATCAAGCCTACAACTGGGGCATGCGCCCTGACTGGGAATTGAACAGTGACCTCCTGATACATAGGTCACTGTTCAACCACTGAGCCACACCAGCGGGGCTGAGATTATCCTTGATTTTAGCTATTTGATATTGAATAATTCTTTATAGAAGAAAAAAAACAAGTTAATGAGGTAATAGGTAGTTGGTGTCTTTTGGCTAATTTCAGAATTAGAGTGAAGGTTAGAGGCTTAGTTTTCTGGTGGAAAGTATCTAAACTTTGTTTTAAGGGATCCCCCCCTCCCCAAAGTAGTTTACATGTGTTATTTAATTTAATTCTTACCATAACTGTGTAATAGTCATCTCCAATTTGGAGCAGAGAAAAATAAATCTTTTGACAGTAAGTCCAACAGTGATTACTAGTTTATTGGTTACTTCAAGAAAGCCTTATTTCAATGTTTTTCCTTGACAGATGCACTCTCTGTTCTAATTTTATATACGTGTATTTATTCTAAGGGAACTATAGTTTTTATAGTTGTTTTTAGTCACAATTTTGTCAAGAGAGTAATGCAAATAGTGTGTTTTAGTCAAGGACAATAGGTACGTGTATATCTGTGTGGTGCATGTACTTTTAAGTATTTATGGAGTGTAAGAGTAGTTTTATATAGTAACAGTCATTGTGTGTTTTTTAAACTTTCTAAGATTTCATTTCTGTACAAACAAGTGTGAAATTATTAGGGCCAAAATACCAATGTTTGTCTTTCACTCACTGTATCTGCACTTCATAAAAATGCTTAAATATTACTTCATCATCTTTAAATTTGCTTTTCAGAATGTGAAATCTGTGAACTAATATTTGAATATTTATGGAGTAACCCTGATTTTTGCAGGTGTTGCAAGCCCTTAGGAATATTTAGCTTAATTTGGAACAGTATTCCCTATTTTTTGCTCGGTCTTTCATTTTTAAAAACCAAGTTATAGTAAATCTATCTATGTATAATCCTTTTGAATCTTTCAACAGTAGTTTGGTTAGGCATACATGTTCTCATAGTTCACGCTATCCTGATTGAAATGCAAAGAGAATTGTTTTACAGATAGTATATATCACTATGTAGATGTTATGTGTCCCTGCAGTAACATTTTTTTGTTTTATAGAATGCTTGGTTAGGGTCAGCAGTCTCAATTAATAAAAAATGAACTAATAAAGGATACTGTCAACTATAAAATAAAATAAAATAAAATAAATTAGAACAGAAACAAGTAAAAGAGAAAACAAGTACAATAGGAAAAAAACAATAAAAAAGAACACTGTTTCTTAACATTTTTTGTCATTGAGCAGAATTATTTTATAGTGTCTATTTGTATGAAAGTTGTCCATTTCTAAAAAACACATGTATAAGGTCATTAATTTAAAATACTTTGTAATATGTTCATGGTGGTATGATCATGGTGATATGCTGCTAGTTGAGAGTTGAACAAGGTGGAGTTTAAATCTTCTATGCTGACATATGTTAGTCTTAGGTGGTTTAAGTTTCCTGTTCAGCAGCTTTGTGCCTATAAAATTATTTGCCTCACAATTAGTAGAGCAGGCATTTGGGTGATGATCCAGTGGGATGCCATCATACCTGCTTCTCAGAGTAGAGTTCATGGACCAGCAACATCAGCATTACTGGGAGGTGGTTAGATATACAGTCTTGACCATTCCCAGATTCCTCCATCAGAATCTGCATTTAAACTATTACACTTATACATTTGCAATTATTCTTTTTTTAGAAAACGTATTTTCCAGATGGTTTGTATCCATCTGGGCACATTAATGTTTGAAACGTCCTCCTGTAGACGACATAAGACTTGGCATCTGGACAAGAAACCAACATTTGTGTATCTGAGGTTGCAGGGATATAAAGATTTAGGAATTATTTCTGAGAATAAAGAAACGTAAATTAGAAGTACATTTCTCTTCAGGATTACTCATTTACTTTGATACTTTCATCTTATTGACCAAAAAAGATAAACTTGATTTCATCCGTACCAAGTGAGCAAACCTGGCTATTGTTAAGTCTTCCCCTAAGAAGTGGCATCCTCTGAATTTGAATGAAATTGAGTTTTGAGAAAAGGAGATGGAAGACTGTGGCCCAGGCATAGCATATACTATCACTCACTAGGCTTTTTTTGTGACGTCAGGAATGCAGACATACTTTATTCCATCCTAATTAATGAATAAGTATGTCCTGAATGTCTGCCATGTGCAAAGTGAAACAGAGTGGATCAAACCTTTCCTCGGAGAGTTTACAGTCAGGACAGGGAACTGTCCTTGAAAGTCAGGCAACCTGTCACCGGCAGAACCATGGTATGTTGGGAATGGCCTTGTGGACCCATTAGTAAGGCTTCTCCCCTCTGTGAAGGGAGAATAGGAATACAGCACTCATTTTAGTCAGTTATGCCTTTTCCATCAAGGTATGTACTGTTATATCAGTATATTTAAGGGGAATTAGAATTCAGAACCAGAACCAAAGAAATGCAAATGCCTAGATGTACCTTCTCCTAACAGACTTAATGTAGTATTTGTTGTGGCATACTCTGTCTCTAAATTTTTCAGTTTGCTTTAAGGAAAAGTCTTTTGCTTGCATTCTGCTTCAGTTATTTCAAAACTCCCTTCAATTTTGCTCAACTTCTGAGGTGGCTGTAGGAGCTCATTGACTTTTCTGGGGGTTTTATTTTAAAACTTCTTAGCGAGGGATCCCTCCGTACAAATGAAGTCTTGCTCAGGAGTGTGAGCATAAACCACACGGGAGGAGGGGCTGTTCTTGTTGAACCTGCCTATGTCTAGCTCTTTCATGTATCCTTGAGGGTGGGGATGAGGATAGGGGTCTTGAGTTCTAGGGCACAATTGGAAACTAGTGTCCTAGGATTAAGAACACCACCAGGACTATTCTTTTAGAAAAAAGATATATTTTTTCACGACACCTTTTACCTGCTTCCCTTCTTTCTGATTTTTATCCTGTAATACAAAGTTTTTCTATCTTGCACAGGTGACCCAGAAATCTTCAAGATAGGAAGTCAGCTGTTTGTAGTCACTACATGTGAAATGCGTTAAGCATGTGGGACCTGGGAAAAGACGCAGAAACACAAAGATGCTTCTCAACAACATACACTTTTCTGACATGTAATTGGCAAGCATATTGCTAGAGCAGAGATGGGGGCTTGCCATAAAGTTTCTCGAAGGCAAGGAACTATAAAAGAAAATTATAGCATAGTGTAGTATACTTTGAAATTATAAATACCATTCTTCACATTTTTTGTGCTAACTCTATTACTTACTTTTAGAAATTTGTATATAATTTCAAAACACTAATAATGGCATTTCACTTATGCCACAGATCTTTTCCTCTGCAAAATCTCAATTATGAACTTAAATCTTGAGACTAGGAAGGCACTGTGTTATATTATAAATCATATTAAAAACTTTTCCCTCCCTTAGAAAGGCATATTAGGCTTCTTATAAGAAAAAAAGCTTTTGTTCAGGATTTTTCAGTGGATAATACATTTTATCTTGAACAGGATTTAAATGGCAACTTGATTATAGAACACTTTAGGAGATTGCTGAATGTTTCACTTAAGGATTAGCTCAGATTTTATGTCATGATTTTACTAGAAATTATTATGTAGTCATATCACATTGTGACACACCATGCTTAGTGAATGCTCATTTGTTCTGCAGGAGAACGACTCAGGCACTTTGGACACAGTGGGCGCTGTGGTTGTGGACCACGAAGGGAACGTTGCTGCTGCTGTCTCCAGTGGAGGCTTGGCCTTGAAACATCCAGGGAGAGTTGGGCAGGTGAGTCGCTGGGTCTTTAAACTAGCTGTACAAGTTAAAACATGGCACTTTCTAGCTCACAAATCTTAAACTGTAGAGACCTTTTTTCTTTAGAAAAAAAATATTGTTCTTTAACACTTTTGTAGTATAAATCATCAATCAAAAACTTTTTACGATTCTTTCTAAACAAAATTCTCATAGTAATAGGGCTCTTTCTGATCTTTACCATTGGTAATCTTGTGTTTTACTACTTTGGACAGGCTGGGCATATAGTAGACGTTTAATAAATGCGTGTTGATTTCCCTTTTCTTTGTGTCATTCTTTTTAGGAGCAAGCTCTACCTGACTATTATTACTGCTTTCTTTTTAGGTGGGAAAATGATTTTAGAGTTACATTTTGTGTTTCTTCCATTCAAGGAATAGTTGGCCCTCTAAATTGCTCCTCTGATTGAACATTTCAGCTATTTTATAGACTAACCAGTATTTCAGGTTACCACATATGATACCATTCAAGAAATCTGTTTATAAGGAGGGTCTAATGTATGTGCAACTGGTTTATTTCCAGTTCACTTGTACATCTTCGCCCTTCCCCCTCCCCTTGTCTCCTATCATCAACCTCTAGGGCTATACTGAGAATGAGATTTAACAGTCTGTTTGATCTAGGAAGCTTTCTGAGTATAAACCAATTTGGCACATTGCTTATAGGCTTAATAAGTATTTGTTAACTGAACAAATGAATTGGACACCATCATGGAATCTCTTAAAGTAGTTGCAAGGGTGTGGTTAAGCTCAGTATTTGGATCTTGTGTTACATGTAGAGCACTACTTGGCTGCTCTTTCACTTTGTTTCTCATGTTTAAAGAAGAGTCGATGCCACAGTTGCTTTGGACATGGTGGTTAGTGAATGCTTGAAGCAGAGTGATCTGATTCATGGAGGACATCTTTGCAAAGCCTCAAGTGTTGTTCCCTAATCTGCGCTTTATTGTGGATAAACTACTTGTGGTCCTATGGGGGAAAAGGGAAGGGAAGAACAATTAATTTTGTGCAATTCTTTGTCTACTGTAGAAGGGGATTTATGGGGAATGATTACTCAACATGTGTACAATGCTTTGAACTCATTATAAAAAGCCTTTGTCTGCTCATGGTATTTTTCCACACTATAAAGTCCTGTGTATTTGTTGAGTTTGGAATAAGAAAACCAAAGTTGGCATATCAGTTTTGGATGCCTTGGTGGAGAAGGAGAGAAAAAAGCCAGCAGAGCCCCCTTCCTAGCTTTGCAATTCCCATGACTTTCTCACTGTTTTTTTGTTTGTTTTGGTTAGCAAAATAGCAACAACTGAACCAAGGATAGTTCTGGACTGTGTTAGTAGAATATTACATCCAATAGTCTTGAAGCCATTCTGCCACTGCAAACGGGACTTTCCTGGATAAAGAAATACTTCTGTAAAACGTAATGTTTATTTGCTGCACTTGGCGAGTTTATGAATGCACAGTTTGTGAGAGATGAAAACTCAAGAAAGGGTGTGGAGGAGAGGAGTCAAGGTACTTATAGCAAAATACAGTTGCTTAATTGGATTATATTGCTTGGAAAAGGAGATGTAATTTGCCTCGCCTGGAAATATGTAAGCATCACATGAGAGGTAAAGAACTGTTCTTCTTGATAATCAGGACAGAGTATGACAAAATACACAAGCAAATTATTATTTAAATGTGCTAAAATTAGATACTTTTAAATACATTTAAATGTACAAATGATTTAAAATTTTTAGCATATTACCCTTCTTTAGATAGAAAATAACAGTTCAGACAGTAAAATGGCAATTTGAATGAGAACTTATTTGCTTCTTCAGTTTACTGTAATAATTAGATTTAGAACTGGGACATGAGCACGGAATTTATTATATTCTTCGCCTCCCTTATACCTCCCCCCTACTCAAATATAAATAGACAGTTGAGTTAAGTGGAGTGGTTCAGAGTATGGACCTTTAATCTAATTCCACCTTTCCATTTACCAGCCTCCTTACTGTGGACAATATTCAGTGTCTTTAAGCTCTACTTTCCACAACTATAAATGGGGACAAATAGCTACCTTACAGAGTTCTAGAAAATTAAATGACATAATGCATTAAATTACTTATCATAGTCCCTCATGATAACAGCTATAGCCATTGTTTATGCTATGTGGGACAGGCACTAGGAGGGGGGTGCTTTTATTATCCTCATTTTATAAAAGAGGAAACTAAAACTCAGAGAAGATTAAATAATAATAATAGTAATATAATTTATATGACCTACTTTTACTGCATGATAATAGCTTTAATAAAATTTTACTACTAAAAGAAGGAAACTTTTAAAATTGTTTAAGTCTGCTTAAGGTTGCTGTGTTTTACCCAAAGAAGTGGATAAGAGAGACAATCTCTGATTCTTTAACTTACCTGTGTGTTTCTCAGCCCAACAACCAATTTCAGAAGGTTACACAATAAGACAACTTTAGGTCATAAAATTGAAAGTAACCAAAAGGGAATTTGCTTAGAAGAAAAAAGAGTAAGAATAAATGTTCTGGGTTTCTACGAGGTATCCTTGTGCCTTATTTATTGTGTGTGTGTGTGTGTGTGTGTTTGTGTAGGGAGAATGGAAGGACTGTGGGCTCATGTCCAGGATATTCAATAAAGGAAGAATGGGCCCTTCTCTGAGGTCATGTGTTCTCTGAGGCTTTGGCTGACCCAGCATCTGTCCCAGGCAGTGCCAGTTGAATGGCTGATCTCAAAAGTCTGCCAGTTTTCTTACGAAATCCATGTGCCGAATCCCTTCTGTAGGTTTTCAGTTGCCACTCTGACCAGCCGTCTTAGGTATTTAGGAAGCATGGTGTTTTCAACGGCAGTAATGTCTTCCTACTGTCTGCTCTATTGGAAGTGTTGTGTTCAGTTCTCGGTTTAACTTTTTTTCCCCTTATTATTAAAACAGCTTTATTGAGATATAACTCACATACCATACAATTTACCCATTTAAAGTGTATAACTCAATGGTTTTTAGTATGTTGACAAGATGTATGCCACCATCAGCACATTCAGTTTTTCATCCAAATCATCTTTTATGTTTTTACTTTAAAGATTGCTTTAATGCAATTCCTATAGAGGATGCTTTTCTGATTTAGTATGAATTTTCTTTTTAACTTTCAGATTTTTTTTCTTTATTGATTAAGGTATTTACATATGTGTCCTTATGCCCTCATTGCCTCCCCCCGCAACCCCTGCTCGTGCCCTCACCCCCTTAGTGTCTGTGTCCATTGGTTATGTTTATATGCAGGCATACAAGCCCTTTGGTTGATCTCTCCCTCTTCCCCCTCCCCTCCCCTGCCTTCCCTCTGAGGTTTGAGGGTCTCAATCAGTTTTACTTTTAAGAGGGCTATATTCATGACAACTGGGGATGGCAACTGTGGGTCACAACTTCATCTCCAATTTCCCTTGGTTTTGTATTATTTCTCAAAGAGGGTGACTAGGAGAGTGGTGTGTGTGTGTACATTTTAAAGTGTTGAGGAACAGTTCACAAATCTAGTATTCTTTGAGTGAGAAAAGAATAATCAGGACCCTAGGATAGCTGTTTTTAAAACCAAAAAACAGCTTTAGGAGGAGGTTAATGCATTTCTAAAGAATAGAACTAGTAGTAGTGGGTGGAAGTTATGATAGATAGTCCTATGCAATTGAAGGAAGAACTTTTCGCCAATGGGAAGTGTCCAAAAGGGGGATATGTTCCCTTATGAGATAGTGAGCTTCTCAGATTCAGAAGTGTCTGGGATATTTCATGGAGATTCCTGCTCTTGGTAGAATATTAGAGCAAATGAGCTCTGAAGTCCTTGTGAGAAAGGATAGAATGTTATAGAAAGCTAAAGTTTGGTCACCATTGCCAGTCTTCTTTCTCCAGTCCTTAGAAGTGAGCTCCTAGAAAAAAAAAGTACTATTTTATGGGAATATCTTTTTCCTCCATCAATCAATCTGGATGCTGAATGTATTGTCGTGGCTTACCTCTTTCTTCTTTTTTAGGAACTAATTTAATTTTTTTTGAAACTTTGCATTGAATTCCACATATTGCTATGCCAGTTTAGCCATTTCCTTACTGATCGACATTTAGGTTGTTTCCAGTTTTTCATTCTCACCGAACATGTGCTATTGCACATTGTTGTATTTCTCTAGATAGCTATTTAAGGTTTTTTATAAATCTGTTTCTAACTAAGGAGTGGAAAATTATCAGATGTGATTTCCTTTCTAAAGGTAGAGCAGTGGTTGTGGATATTGAAGAGATGTATCCAGACATTTTGGGTAGCATTAATTGGAAACAAAATAGGAATGATTGACCCATTCTTTTATAAAATCATTGTTACTTACTTTGTTCCTAATGGTTTGAGACATATAACTATGCTCCAACACTTCACAAAGTTATTACCTTAAACAGACCCCTTTTTCTCTTTTCTTTACACCTGGCAGAATCTAGGACGGTGGTGAACATGTTCTGGGCCCTTTGGTACATAATTGTTTGCAGTTCCTATTGTGCCACCCAAGGGAGGCAGGGGAAAGGTCCTCCTCAGTGGGGTTTCCTAGAGCATGGCAGAAGGACCATGGCATCCCAGCCTTCCAGGGCCTTGGTGAATATAGCCGACTCCTGGCCTCGTCCCAGACCACTGACCGAGAGTATCTGGGAACCAAGGCTCCTGTCACCATGCTCCCCGCAAAATTTGATACACACCTAGTCTGAGAACCACGATTGTAAGGCAACCATAATGATTTTAAGGGGCCAGAAGAGCAGCTAGCTGACAAATTACAATGGGGGAAGATTTTTCAGGCGAAGAAAAATTACTGTTGATAAAACTAAGAAACTTTCTTTTGCTATTTTCTGAAAATTTTTAGATTACTGCAATGGCTGAAAATATAGTTTTAATAGTGTTAGAATGTTATTTGGATAGGTTTTATATAACCTCTGTTATTATTACCCGGTTGTTATACATCATTACTAAATTTATTAGATGGGTATGATTTTGTCTTCTGTTGAAAGCCAGTAATTACTTATAATATTTCTGTAATATTATATTTATCTATTTTCTTTTTCCCCCAGGCTGCTCTTTATGGATGTGGCTGCTGGGCTGAAAACACTGGAGCTCATAATCCCTACTCCACAGCTGTGAGTACCTCAGGTATTTGCTGCTTTCATGGCCATTTTTCATAACTTCAACCTTGTAGGTCATTTAATGATTAAAACTATTTTTATGTAAGCATGTGCTAAGACACTGCACAGACAAGAGCACTGATACATAAAAAATCTTTGATATTTGAAAGCTTTTAAGGACCATTTCACAATATAAGCATCACAGTGTAAATGATTTCCTAACATTTCAACACAATTCTGGAGTTAACTGTAACTTAATAATATCTTTATGGTTTTTTTTCTCTCGAATCATTCATGTTAGTGCCAAATTTAGATCACATATATAAAAGTAGCAAGGCATTTCAAAACTAAGATATTCTCTTGAGTAAAATGTTGACATAGGTGTATTTCAAAATGTATAATTTATGACATGCAATCCTCTGCACTTTTAATAAAATGTACATCTTTTTGTACCTGTATTTAAAAAGAGTCATTATCATTTAGAAATGAGTGTGTGTGTATGGGTGTGTTTGGGGCGGGGGGGGGAGGGTTAATTTTAATAGCAGAATGGTTGCTGTCTTGATCCAAGTTTTTATGTGCTTGTGCCAGATGTACCGAAGCCTTTTCTTTTAATGTGGTGATATGCATGGTTGACAAAATAATATTGGTTTATATTGGCAAAATCATATTGGTTTGCTTTTACCTATCAAGCTACAGCCCTAGGCCTTTCCTCCCATGGCCTCAGGTTTTATTAGTAAGGAAGATTGATATGCCTGCCTCTCCTTCTATTCCCTCTTCAATACAGTGGCCTTCTTCTGATAACTCTTGACTCTTTCTGTGATCTCTGATGTAGGTGGCTGTTTTCTGTCTGTATCATAGATTCTGGAATTTTTTTGGTTTGTTCTGCTTCTCTCACCTGCTCTATCTTTGCCTTCTTCACAGATTCTTCCCATTGCTGACAACTGCAGATTTGGGCCCCTGCTATCTTTCCTTCATCTCACTGTGTGCATTCTCTTGGTGGTTTGGTGTTATTGCTGTGTTCCATTTTAGCAGTTATCTCTGAGGATATTGGCTTCTACTCAGGACTTTTTCCTTGAGGCCCATGCGAGTCATTACTTACTTCCTGTTGGACATGTCCCTGTGGATGTCATGTATACATATCAAATTCAGCAGACTCAAAAACACATCTTGGTTCTTATTCCCACTCTTTGGCCATCTTTCTCCTGTACTCCCCATCTCTTTTATTGCCATCACTGTTTTGTTCTTTGCTCAGACGTGAAATCTGGGTACCATTCTCATATACTTTTTTTTTTTCTGCTTATCTGACCCTGTCATTTCAGGTCCACGTTATCCTGCTTGCCTATTGTAGCAAGCAGTCTCCTGACCTAGATTCATTCCTTTTTTTTTTTTTTTTAAAAATATTTTTCTTGAATTCAGAGAGAAGGGAGATGGATAAAGAGATAGAAACATCAATGATGAGAGAGAATCATTGATTGGCTGCCTCTTGCACGCCCCCTACTGGGGATCGAGCCTGCAACCTGGCATGTGCCCCTGCCTGGAATTGAACCTGGGACCCTGGTTCAGTCTGAAGGCCGGCACTCTGTTCACTGAGCCAAACCAGCTAGGGCTAGATTTATTCCTTGTATCAGTGGAAAACTTAGACTGTCAGCCACTGGTCTATCAGGTGAAGTCCAAATGCAAATTAATGTTGAGTCTAAACCACAGTAATATAATTGGCAAAAAGTTGTTTTCAGTCTTTTAATTTTGAAGAGATGAGTATAATATAATGAGTTAATTTTTAATTTATTACGGTAGCACATGGAAACCTATACACATAATATTTAAGAGTTAGCTTGTGCTCATAATTAAGTATGGCCCTATGTCTATGGAAAATTGTAGTATTTGAAAAAACTAAAGTCTAAAATAGATAATTCATTATTTCCTCTTTATTTCCTTAAAGAAGTATCAGTTTGTATTATCTGTCAATTTTATTATTGGTCAATGTGTTGTTTAGTAAGTTGGTTTGTTGTTCTTTAAATGTTACTCTCATGTCTAGATGTTAGGAAACCTAGATTCTACATTTAAGCTGAAATTCTGAGAGCCAGTGTGTGTCATGTTAGAAAATAAATTCAATTTCCTTGGGATATTGCACTCCCTTCCTTCCTTTTTTAAATTGATGATATGGAAGTTAGGATAACACCACATTTACTGGATTTGATTCTGTTAAGTAGGTGGATAAAGCTAAAATTGTAAAATTAAGGTATTTTCCTCTTTCTCATGGCTATTTCCTTCTTTGCCCAACTTGGATTAATTGAAGATAGTTTCATATGACTAAAGATAAGTTTAGGTTTCCAGTTCATGACATCCATTGTAGCTTTTTAACTTGGATGCCCAGCTCATCATGTTACATCCATCTCAAGTTAAGACTAACCATCATCATCCCATAGAACCTGAAGATATTAGAGCAGGTCTGCTGTTCCTTCCATCTGTGGGACTTTGTGTGATTTCTTTACCCTTATTTTTCCTGAGGCTCTTGCTATGAGGTTGACAATGGAAACACATGGTAGAGTTGGGTGTTCAGGTCATAAGAAAGGTGGAGCATAGAATTTTGCAATTGTTTGTTCAAAATAAAAAAAGACTTGTGCCTTAGGCTGTTGCAGAAAATCCAAAGACCTGGCCTACATTTTAGGTTTATAGTTTTGGAAGGTGATACTTGAAAGGCAGAGGGAAGACAGTTAGTTATGGTCAGTGTAGGGCTCTCTCCCAAAGCCACACAGGACTTGGTCATTAGCCTGAGGGATAAACTCCAGCATCTTGCTCTCATCACTGGGTGGGGAAGAAGGTTAGGGTGGCAGGCGCTGACCTTGCAAACTCTGACTAATGTTCTGGCCTCATGGAAATTTGCCTAGCTAGGGAGGAGCAGAGCAGATACTTGGGTCCTTGTTCAGACTCTTTTACTCATTGGCTGTGACCAGGGCAAGGGGTTATTTGTAAAACAGGAGTAATATCTACCTTAATATTTATGAGGATTTAATGGGTTGACATATGAAAGTTACCTAGCACACTTCTTGGTCCTGAGTAGTGGCTCAATATTTAACTGTATTTTGTTGAATATTAGTCACCATCTTTTATAATATGCACCACTATTTAAAAAAGTACTAGTTGATTCCTTTTTTTTTTATTGTGGTAACTTTTTACCATTTTAACCATTTAAAAAATCTAAGTATAGTTGGCATACAATTTTATATTAGTTTCAGGTGTACAACATAGTGATTTGACATTTATATACCCTACTAAGTGATCACCACAATAAGCCTAGTAATCATCTGCCATCGTACAAAATTGTTACAATGTTCCTGACAACATTCCTTATGCTGTACAGTATATCCCCATTTCTTATTTACTTTATAACTGGAACTTTGTACCTCTTAATCCCCTTCACATTTTTCACCCATCCCCCTAACCTTTTTCCCTCTGGCAACCATCAGTTTGTTCTCTGTGTTTGTGAGTCTATTTCTGTTTTGTTTTGTCTGTTCCTTGATTTGTTTTTTAGATTTCACATATAAGTGAAATCATACATAATTGTGTTTTTCTATTTGACTTATTTCACATAGCATAATACCCTCTAGGTCCACCCATGTTGTCGCAAATGACAAGATTTTATTCTTTTTTATGGCTGAGTAATATTCCATTGTGTGTATATACCATATCTTCCTTATCCATTCATCTATCAGTGGACACCTACGTTGTTTCCATAGCTTGGCTATTGTAAATAATGCTGCAATGAACACAGGGGTGCATATCTCTTTTCCTATTAGTGTTTTTATTTTCTTTGTGTAATTGCCCCAAAGTGGAATTACTAGGTTACATGATAATTCTGTTTGCAATTTTTTAATGAATTTCCCTGCCGGGCTCCAACCCCAGGGGGTCCAGGGGTCCCCAAAGGTGTGGACGGAGTCGGCGAAGAAGGAATGACACGGAGACAGCGTTCAGTTGATCAGCAGCGCCAAGTTCTGGTCTGGATCTCCAGAGAAGTTCTGCCGTTTATTGTCTTGTTACATCCATATTTATACCAGTTGATTTTAATCCTGTCAATTTCTATTACAAAGGTTAGGGCGTTTCCTATCTCCATTCCAGGGAGTAAAGATTATGTAGCTTAAGCATGATTGTTCATAGTTAAAGAGATTAATTACCCACCTTGCACTTAGTGAAGGGGTTATATTCCCTCCCTAACTTCAGGGGAAAATCTCTACCTGGGGAAACAACCTTTCTCGGAGAGGTGACCTTGATTAGAACACAGCGCCAAGAAGGTGAGCAAACATATTAAGAACAGTATGTCATATATGCCAGGTCCCTTGAAACAGCAAGGATGGACCGGCTCCCGGCATTTCCCTATTATTTTCTATACTGGCTGTGCCAATTTACAATGGCACCCAACAGTGCATGAGGGGAGGTTCTCTCTCTCTCTCTCTTTTTTTTACATCCCCACTACCACTTGTTATTTGTTGTATGTGTGTGTGTTTTTTTCATAATAGCCATTTAGACAGGTATGAGGTGATATCTTATGTGGTTTTGATTTGCATTTTCCTGATGATTAATGATGTTGAATATCTCTTCATGTGTCCGTTGGTCATCTGTATGTATTCTTTGGAGAAATATCTCTTTAGGTCAACGGTTCTCAACCTGTGGGTTGCGACCACTTTGGGGGTCAAACGACCCTTTCACAGGGGTCACCTAAGGCCATCAGAAAACACATATATAATTACATATTGTTTTTGTGATTAATCACTATGCTTTAATTATGTCCAATTTGTAACAATGAAATTGGGGGTCGTCACAACATGAGGAACTGTATTAAAGGGTCGTGGCATTAGGAAGGTTGAGAACCACTGCTTTAGGTCCTCATTTTTTAATCAGGTTATTTTTTTGATGTTGAGTTTTATAAGTTCTTCTTATATCTTGGATATTAACCCCTTATTGGATATATAATTTGCAAATACAGTTGTGCGCTACATAACAACCTTTCAGTCAATGATGGACCATATATAC